TCTTCAGTATTGTGTTGCAAGTTCATATGTCAACATGGATTAGTTGGCAAGATGTGCAACTGCTCAAAATGCAGCACAGAACTGACATTAAAGAAGATATGTTTCAGTGCAGCAACTGCTCGAACTCTTATGTCCACACAAAATGTAAAAGTACACCATGCTGCATCAAGATAGTTGCTTTCATTGGTACCAGATATCAAAAGTACTAAGTACTTTCTGTTTAATATGCCAACGGGTCCGGGGAGCAGATCGGAAGTTAGGTAAGGCTATGGAGTTTTGGTTAGTTAAGACAGGTTTTGTTAAGTTCTGTGTATTTCTGTTTCCATTTTCGTGTTCAGTATCATGTAATTAATATCTCCATAAATTTTGGTTCAATTCCAAAAGTTATTTCTGGTGGTAACTCTGCTCCACTTTTACCAAACATTGCAGGTTTTCAAGTAATAATAGAGAGGGGTAAAAATAATAAGTGGCTCTCCTATATTAAAGGCAAGTTTTCATAAAGGCTTGGCAGAGGAACCTTTAGGCCATTCTGTAGTGGTATCTTAATTAGCAGGCATTTATGACCAGAAACAACCCATTAACGGCAGTAAAATAGCAGATTACAGCAACCAAAGAATCTGATAAAAAAAATGTGTTACCTAACCTAATGTAATCAAAGAAAATTATCATAGAAAAAAATAGTTCTATCATTTAGTGTAGTGAATTTCCGGAATTCTGTGGTTGCTGTTAGGATACACCTCATTTTGTCACCACCTGGTTCGTCACCCAAAAAAAATATTTTGTCACCAAATTCACCAATATCAAATCCATTTCGTCACCAGTAATGGTCTGGTGATGAAACAGTCGCTGATATTAGAGTGACAAATTGCAAGTTATTATTTTGCACGAATAGAAATTACCAGGGTTGGAAAAAATCATGATTTTTAAAAAAAAAATAAAAAAAAATCGATTTATTTGATGTAAATCGGATTTTTTTTATTTAAATCGATTTTTTTTATAGTTTTACTAATTGCATTAAAATAGTATTTTTAAACCATGAAAACAGTATTTTTCAACCAAAGCTTATTCAGGATAATAAACAGAAAATTGGCATTAAAATATTTACCTATGCAGTAGATGTACCAATGGAATTTAACACAATAATATTCTTTTTGTAAAATAAAAGAAAACTGGTAACATATCTTACATTTGAGTGCACAAATCCAAACGTAATAATGAAATTTAACATAAATGCTCTTATAGGATTACAGTGTTTCAAAAATTAATAACTTAAAAATTAATAACTTCTTCAAGTCAACAGAATAATATTCTCATTTTGTAAAAAAAAATAATACTGGTAACAAGTTTATTTTCTTACATTTGTAGGATTATAGTGTATTAAGAATTACCGGTAAAACTTCAAGTCAACACAATATTCTCATTCTGTAAACAACAAAAATAGTTCAAAACATTTAAATTAGCTTAGTTGAACATTGAAATGCTTATGTACTGTGACAAGCTTAGATGCCTTTTCCTGTCCTAGGCGATTTCTTACCTTTGAGTGTACAAATCCTTATGTGGAAAAAATTCTCTCGACCCCTGCTGATGATGCGACAGCTGTAAATAATTGCCTAGGAACATCCATTACATTTTCTGTCATATCATTGGCAAAATACTGCCACCAAGCAAGGGGTGAGAGAGATTTTACAACATTTTTACCAAAATAGACCTCTTTAAATGGTGCACTTCTTCCATGGAAGGACATTAATGTTGAAAGGAAATGTGGAAGAGACTCGCACACATACTGTTCTGCAATGTCTTGCTGCTCAGGAGTCAGATGTCTGCCCTGATACCTTGGATCTATCACATTAGCTAGAAAATGGGCAGGTGTCAATGCTACTTTGATTCTTTTTTCAAAATTATCCATATCCTTCTTATCAGTTAAATACTCCTTAATATCAGTTTTCAGTTTTACCCAGATTTCTACAGCATCACTTAATAGGGTATGTTCTCTCTGGACACAGTCCAATGCCACAGCAATAGGCTTAAGTCTCTCTAAATAGTCTTCTGCAGTTCTTTTTAATGCCTTATCATTAACTTTCCTTTCAATTTTCTTATCAATGTCTTCACTATTTTCTTTGCACACTTTGACAAGGGTCTCCCAGTTCTTTAAATAAGATTCAATAGAATCTGTCACTGTGTTCCATCGTGTGTCTGATGGCATTACTAGCATTGTTCCTCCTGCTCTTCTATACAAAGATCCTGGGATGTGATGATTTCTGAAGTACTTAATGATTTCAGTAATGTGCTCCTTAATGTTCTTGATTTGCAGGTCTTGTGAAAGCAAATTTAACAGGTGTGCAGAGCAACCATATGTTATAATGGATATATCTTGTCCGAATTCACTTCTCATTTTTGCCATATTAGCAGCATTATCTGTTACACAGCTTCTTACTGTGCATCCAAATTTGTCTTCACACTTTTTTGTAGCACATTCAGCTAATTTCAACAGATATTCAGCTGTGTGTCTTAATTCTGTGTCTATAGAGTCAACAAGATAAATACGGTTGTCCGCTGTTAAAGTTATACATACTCATTATGGACATTACTCCATCCATCCATGGCCATGCAAACTGTTTTCCCACTAAGTTCTTCTGAATAATTCTTAATCACTGAATCGTTGGCTTGATCCAAGAGAGACCCTCCAATTTGATGTCTATTAGGTGGAACATATCCTGGTCTTAGCACTTTAATCATCTTGATGTTATTAGCCTGCTGCATTGCATATACTTTTCAATCATGTAGAATAAAAAGAGAAAAGAGTTGTTAGTAAAAAATCATTTTGATTTAAATCATGATTTTTTTACTCTGATTTAAATCAATTTAAATCATGTGATTTAAATCATTTGATTTAAATCATAACAACCCTGGAAATTACACATGTTTAAAGACGACTCGAGAATTATTGTTATTATTATACATGAATATAAATTATTTAATAGAGAAAACTAATAAAGAAAACGATTAAAACAATGATAAATAAACAAAATACAAAACAAATAAAGGTGATTTCTTCTTCACCACTTTCAGTGCGGGTTACGGTCAGACTGTCAGGTGATTTCTGTAAACAACGGGCAATTATCAGGCAAACCACTCGATGGAAACGATTGGCAGTTAATTAACAGCTTTTTTTATTATTTGATATTTTTTATATGGCCAGGTTTACCGGGCCACATAGCCTGTTGCATGTTAACAAAAATAGTTATTGGTTACTACTACTAGCAAATATATATCTAATGCGCATTTTAATTGCATCTTACATTGGTGATAAGACTGGTTGAAATTGTCACATGACTAACTGGCCAACCTTACCAAAGTGGATATGGGCGATCTTAACACTCGTAAGAGGCACACTAACTGCTGAGCACTGCAACCGACAACACCAAGCTTGCCCTTCAACTCAGCATGGCTTCTACAAACTGTATTCAGTTTTGTTCTGGATGTGGCAAGGAAGTACGATCATGGCAGCAGGCTCTCTCCTGTGATTATTGCCATCAGTGGAGACACAGGAAGTGTGGCACAACCATCACTCAGGATATGTACAGGCAAATAGGCAAACATTGAAAGAAAGGTGGATCATTTGCCTGGCACTGTCCAGAATGCCCTGCTACTGCTGACCTCCCCTTGGATGAGTCTTCTACTAGTTCTGACAATTCGTTCACAGTTAATTTTCCTATTGATCCGGTCACCCCAGTACAAGAAATATCTCCAAGATGAACTGTTCCCAGAAAACCTTCCAGGTGATCAACCAGTTACTTGGGAAGTTTGTTCCCACTGGCACAAACTGTGGGAAGCTACGGTTGCATAGCTCTGATGGTTACACATACACAGTAAGAAAAGAAAAGGAGTCTGTAACATACTGGACTTGCAGCATCCACCAGAAGAATAACAAGTGCCCAGCAAGTGTAATTTAGCAAGGGACAACATTTAAGCCAGGTCTACATGCTCACAACCATCCTGGAACAACAGGCCTTCTTGCTACAACAAAAGTAACTGTTGCTGTCAAAGAGGGATGTGCACGTGACAACTTCACCTCGGCTGCTCAAATTGTTGAAGAAGAATTAACTAGCTACAAACAGAGCCACCCTAATGCCCACCAGTTGCCTAAACCAAGCAGCATTGTCAAACAAGGTAGTAAGTAGTAGGCAGCTACCAAACAGGGAGGTACTACCACCTGGGAAGATATTGGAAGAATAATGTAATTGACTAATGGTAGGTCCTGCAGCCATATGGCATCACAAAAATTGTGACCAAGTCCCAGGTTGCTGATCTGACTTTCTACCTCATTTACACACAATTGCAGGGTTTCAATTGTTTCTCTTACCATTGACAACACAACATACAGTACATATATTGTTTCTCACTCCTGATCTTTTTTCTTTCTTTTTTGTATTTCTTTGTGGTTCTTTATTATTACTATAATTGCAGTGTTGTTATTATTATTATAATTGCAGTGTTGTTATCATTATTATTTTTATTTTTGTATTTTGTATTATAAATTTTACTTTTCTTTGTTATTATTATTATTATTATTACATTTTCGCCTCCCAGGCCCTGATGTGGATCAGTGAGCTGTGCCTGTGTGGCTACAAAGACATCGTCAAGCTCAAAGACCACACCACCCAACTCAGCTCAACTTTGAACTCATGTCTGACAGCCTGCCACCCGATTTCATTAGAACAGATATACAGATCTGCAATGATGATAACCAGACTACTTAACGCCACATAGCCATGGCCACCGATAATCAGCCTCACATTTTAAGTTCTACAAGACAGTGGTAGTATATAGATGGAACATTTAAAATAGTACGAATACCATTTTATCAGTTACTGTCCATACATGCCTTCTTTAATAAATTGTCTTAGTGGGATGCTTACATGAATCAATGAACACAAAGATAGTAAACGGGTTGGTGACGAAATGGGCACACCCCGCTGTTTACTGCAATACAGTATTACCTTGACGGCACTATAACACAGGAGAAATATAGTTTCCGAGGTACATTTCGAGCTTACTATTTCTTTGAAGTTGACACTACACTGCAAATGATGTAGACGCCACCATCAACTGGCTAATGGTAACTACAGCGTAGTGACTTTCTGCTTCCTCCAGCCGCCTAGCGTACTGTCAGTGCTCTCACAAGACACAACACAAGTTAACGTTTGTTATTGTTTTAATTCCAGCCCGAAGGTGTCACATAAAATCTACCGCGTTGCTTTACTGCGCATGCGCGGTTATGCGCAGAACCAGGGTTGCCAAGTCTGCCCCTTAAAGGACAAACTGTCCTTTATAGACCTTTTTTTTCCCTACATTTTTAATTAATAGGAACAGCCCAAAAATGACCTTTTCTTTCCTTTATTAGCTTCCTTCTACTTATAAAGCTTAATGTAACATTAAGAATGATATTTTACTAAGTAATATCCTGTTGTTCGTATCATTTTTGTAACGCCTCTTTGTGACAATCCTGTACTAAATCCACACATCCAACACACGTTCATGCACCCTCTCCTCTCCCCAAAAGATGAGCGCCGTTCAGTACACGCGTCGTATGGGTCAGATTTGCCAGTACCGACCGACTCCCCAGCCCCTCCCCTTCCCTGCCTTCAATTTCAATTCAATTTCAATTGTTTATTCCTTGATAGAGGAAGTGGGATCCTAGTGCTGTCACTAGGTACCCCTGTACAATGACACCAGAAGCATCTGGCAAGTGTGACAAGTATATACAGTATAAATATTATAAAGGGGCTTACTAAAGCCTAAGGAAGGAAGGATATTCCTTTAACACATAATCAATGTTATTTACATAATATCTGGCCAGTATGGGGAGGATCATCGTGTCTCTGTCAGGGGGTCGTGGAGTGGTGGTCCAGCAGGCGTCACGGAAGCGTTGTGTGTGGGGACATCTTTGGAGGTAGTGGATAAGGGTGCTGCTGTCGGGTCTTCTGCATAATGCACAAGAGCGTTGCTCAGGGGATGCGGGGATACCAATCTCCCAAGCAAAGTCATACCCAATGATGATACGGGCAGCAATCACGTCCCCTTTCCGCGACCCTTTCCCATAGACGTACGAGAGGTCAGGAAGTTTACGGAGGACATCGTACCAGGTGGGCGGGGACTCCAGGGGGATGGCTGCTTCCCGAGCTTCTCTCTGTTTGCGGCGAATTTGGGTCCTAAGCTGTAAAAGTGTTCGAGGAACAACGTAGTCAGGTGTGGCCTTGTTGCAGCCAGTCTTGGCAAGGCCATCTGCTGCCTCATTGCCCAAGATACCGTCATGACTGGGTATCCATAGGAATGTCACAGGACGGCCTGCATCCTGAAGTGTGGATGTTAACCCTCGTATTCGGAGGATGAGGTCCTTATTTTCCCCTGATCCAAATGCGATCCCGTCGAGAGCAGACTTGGAATCGCAGCAGACAAGCAAGGGGCAGAAACCATCTGCTTCTTCCTCAGCGAGAAGGGCAGCAAGGAGGGCTATTAGTTCAGCTTGAGTGGAGGATGCCCCGTCAGAAACTCTGAGAGACAGTTTGATAGGCTCAGGGGCATCAGGACGGGAGATGTAGACACCAGCCCCGGCCCTACCTGTAGAGGGGTCAACAGAACCATCAGTGTAGAGGACGGCCCTACCTGGGGACCAGTGGGCGATCCTGGAGAGGTGGTATTTGCAGAGAATAACAGGGTTCACCTGGGATTTCGGGAGCGGTCCACCGAGGGCAATCACTTCAGGTTGAAAATCCAGCCAGGGAGAAGGAGACGAACCAACAGCAGGGGTGACAACAATATCAGGAAGGAGGTCGTGTTCCTAAAGGGCTCGGATGAGTGACCCTCGCCACTGTCTTCTAGATGGAGGTCGGCCTCGGACAGCAGGAGTCAAGTTGGCTTGGACATAGTTGCCCCGAGGATCCCGTAGAATGGAAACGGCAGTTTTTAGGTAAAACTCCTGGACACGATCCTGTAAGGGGGAAAGACCAAGTTCGGTATATAGAGAAGAAGAGCGTGTCCACTGAGGAGCCCCAAGGATGATACGAGCAGCCTTCCTCGGGATAACTTCGAGAAGGTTGACAGCAGTCCGACTAATGTGACGAGGGCAGGGGCGGCGTAGTCGACACAGGAACGGACAAAGGACTTGTACATGGTGAGAAGTACAGGGATGGTGGCACCAAGGGAACCCCTGCACATGGTAGAGAGGGGAGCGAGACGCCGAAAGTATATGTCTCGAAGATAGCGGACTTCAGGGATCTGACAACGTGTGCGAGTTACATACACACCCAGGTATTTTGTCTCATTAACCCAGTCCAAGGGCGTTCCTGATAAGAGAAGGGGTGGAGGTACAACACGACCGTGCCACATGGCTTTTGTTTTCGCAGTTGAAAGAAGGAAACCAAGTGAAACACACTCTCTGGAGACCAGATCAAGGGCTTCCTGCATGCTGAGGTAGTCAGGGGTTTGGAGGAGGACATCGTCGGCATATCCTGAGTGGACAACTTCTGTCGGCCACGGGAGAGATGCAATGGAGTGCATGAGAGTGTTAAACAAGGTGGGACTCAGGACTCCACCTTGAGGGGTGCCGAGGTTCATTTCTTGAACAGGAGATATAGAGCCTTCAACACGAACCCGGGCCTGACGTCCAGTGAGGTAAGAGGCGATCCATTGTAGAAGTTTCCCTTTAACCCCTAACCGCGCAAGTTCAGCTAAAATGAGGGCAGGCTGAGCCGTATGAAAGGCTCCCTTGATATCAAGGAAGACGGAGATGCGGGCAGTCTGATTGCAATAAAAGGAAGCAATGGAGTGTGCTGTGCTGCGATGTTGAATGAAACCATTGAGGGAGTTGTGGAAGCCGCCTATGGTGTGAAGAAGGCGACGATGGAGTATCCTCTCCATCATCTTGCAAACACAGGAGGTAAGACTAATGGGTCGATATTTCCCAGGATCTCCCGGCTTAGGGATGGGGATAATAGTGGCATTTTTCCAGTTGGACGGGAGAACCCCATGTTCATAAGACATATTGTAGAGAGCAAGCAAGGGGCCGTTAGGAATATTAGTACAGGCGTTGAGGACGGAGTAGGTTATCTGATCATCCCCAGGAGAGGTGTCTTTTCTAGAGCGACGAGCACTGTCAAGCTCGAACTGTGTGATGGGATGATCAGTGGGGGCAGGGGAGGTAAGAGCAGCACGAACAACAGGCTCAGACGCATCGATGCGAGCCTGTACTGCCTCCTGCATTGGATCTGGAAGTGCCTCAGGGGAGGAAGCTCGTGCCCAGTCCTCCATTAAAGAGCAGGCAAGGGAGGCGGGGTCAGGGTGGGGAGGAGGCCTCCGTCGAGTACCCCGTATAGCATTAATCCGATTCCATACATAAGAGGGTGACGACTGGAACGATAGAGACCCTGTGAAGGATAGCCAGTCCGCCTCACGAATCCGACGGCGCTCCTGAGTTGCAAAGGAGCACCAATTTTTGAAGTCTTCTCAGTCCTCTGGAGACCGAGACCTCCGTATGGCAGAGTGGAGATCACGGGTTACCTGCCGGAGATGTCTCATGGCAGGGATACAATACCAGTAGTTGGTGGCACTTCTGGGGTGACGGAGAGGGCGTGGAAGGGTAGCGCGATTGACAGAGTCATACACGGCATCAACAAAATCAGCGCTGTAAGAGTCAAGGGACTGGGGGACAAAATAGGAATCCGCCCAGGTAGAAAGGTATTGGGTAAAGGAAGGAACAGCATCTTGTGTGAGACGAAGGCGAGGGGATCGATAAGGAGCTGATGTCGGGGCAGAGAAGGAGAGCCTGAGATGGGTAGTAACGGCAAGATGGTCACTATACAGAGCAGGCTCGGTGCAGACGGTAGGATGAAAGGAGGTATGACCGTTCAATAGTAAGCCAACATCAAGGAAACTATGGGGGAGGCGAGTAGGATCGTCAGGACAAAGAAAGCGAACATCATCATCCCCATTAAGAAACTGTGAGAGATGTGATCCGTTAAGGGTACATGGAGTGGGATGATCCGGAGTAAGAGTGGTATGGCGGGCATTAAAGTCGCCAAGAACAATAGTGGGAATCCCATCATGGAGGTCGTGAAGAACCTGGGGGTCCAGAGAATCACTCTTGAAATGAACATTGACTACACGAAGGGTCCGGTCACCAAGAGTAAGGGAGACAGAAAGTAATTCAGACGGGGGTCCATGTGAGTCAGGTGAAGGGAGACGAACAGATGGATTGGTGTTACGCACAAGGGTGAGGAGGTCACGAGCCTGCCCACGGTACCGAGGCAGGGTGTAAACAGTATAGCCAGAGAGGCGGAGTGGAAGTAACGTCGTCTGTGATGGTTTCCTGAAGTAGAGCAACATCTACTTGATGGGAGAGCACAAACTGGGCGAGGTCTGTCCGGCGAGGTCTAAGTCCCTGGATGTTTCATTGTAAGAAGAGGAGGGAACGGCCTCCGCTGTGAGATGAGTCGGTGGGGCTAGACAGGGCTCCAGAGGAGGTACCAAATTCTGTTGAGAAAAATGGAGAGGGAGGAGTGGGAGAGCGAGGGATAGATCCTCCATCTCGGGAGATGGAAGGAGGCGGGTCATCAGGGCTTGCAAAGTGCGCCCCTGTTGGGTCAGGGTGTCCAGAATGAGTTGTTGTTGCCTCTGCAATGTCGCAATTGTTTTCACAAACAAGTCGAGTTGGGCAGAGAGAAGGTTGATTTGCTTGGAGTGGCGATCCAGACGGAGAGTGATTGCTTCCATAGAACCAACTTGGTGTACCTGTACAGGAGCTGGAGGTGGCGGCGAGGATTGCCGAGGGCCCGACTGGGCATGTGGTGGTGGTAGCGACGGAGAAGGACGGTGAGGGTTCAGTTGAGTAAGAGGTGGTGGTGCTGGTGAGAGACAGCGGGGGTCCGGGTGGGCAGGAGATGGTGGTGACTGTGTGGCAGGGCCGGCAACGACCTTGTTCCAAGAACGGTAGGGAGAGGGAGGGAGGAGAGAAAGGATGGGTGGTAGGGGTGATAGGGGGGATGGTAGAGGAGAGGAGATCAATGGGAAATCCTTGGTGGATGGAAGAGGCGGTGGTGGATAGGAGTGAGGTTTGGTTGACAGGGGCTTCGTCAGAGACGAGGGCGGTGGTACAAGGTAAGTTTTCCCCGGGCGAGTGCCAGGACGCTGTGGGCAATTGACATTCCAGGCGTGGTGACTGCCATGGCAATTGACACACCGTGGAATAACTGGAATTTTGTTCTG